GGCATCATGCAGCAGACACGGAAGCAAAAGCTGAGAGAACGCACCACCGACGAAGTCGTTACCAACCCCTTCGCTCGCTCGTTGCCCACGTCTCCCTCCACTTTGCCCCGCGTGCGCTGTTCTTCCCCGTCTCACCCTCCATCATCCCTTTCGAGACGACGAGCGCGCGCGTTGCAAGCTGGACCGAGCAACGGAGGGTACAGCGGCACACAGTTAGAGGTATACACGCCGATTTAGGACGCTAATTCCAATTTGCAATTCGCTATTGGGTAATTGCTGCCCATTAGAGAGAGGCCATTTTCGGCTGCTACGAGGACCAGCGTAGAACCGCGTCCACGACGGCTATGTATCCGTGAGAGGTGAGGATTGATGCACCGCTGACTAAAAGACGAATTACTCTGTTGCAGATAAAAGATAATTTAACTCTTTAATTGAACTAAATTTTTAAAGCGTTTTCGTATATTGATTTTATATAAACCAATAAATATAAAATTTTACTACGGTTTTCGTTTATCTTCGTGAAAACTTTATTGAACTTTATATGCACGACACGAAAACTAAAAAACTTTACATAATATTTTGCAACTTTGTACAATTTTTTTTGGTAAAATATACACACACGTATAGTGTGTAATAATTATTTTACCGTGGGGAATGTGTGCCGCGATACTCTTCCAACGTGACAAGGCGCGCATTCGGGTCATTCGGTATAAAGCGCCAGCATTCGAACCGACCGACGCAAAAAGGACTAAAACCGAAGGTGAAGTTCCTGCGGGAGCTCGGATCGAGTAATCAGTTTTAATTAAGCGTACCTTTCGCCCGGGAGTTAACGAGGGTAGTTACTCGTTAGTCCGAGATACCGTGCGATTCGCCGACCCTAAAAAAAAGTCGCACGAGATCCGATCTCGGTGGGAAAAAGAGTTATATTTGAATCATTAGTTTTGTAAGTATTAACCGTTGTTGCAAAAAAAAAATAAAAGATTTGGTTTGGCGTTTTAAATGCTTTGAAACAAACAACAGATTTTTATTATAAACTGCAGGCTCTGATGCTCGTTCTAAAGTAAAACAAAATTTTTTTTTAATGAAACATTCTATCGATAGATTTGTATTTTTAAATTCGATAGGTTTTATTTTATTTAAATAAAAAAAGTCAATTTTTGTAAATGTAATCGGAATTGTAGGAAAGTCTTAAAATTGTCGAATCACATCATACACGTCTTTTGTTCAATTATCTGTTCTCGATGCGTAGCAGCGACCTTTCGCTACGATACCTACCGCATTGTCATTGTGACGCAAGAGTATTCATACGACCGGTATAGAGTATAATTTCTCAGGGGGGTAAGCTATAGGGATGCGAAATGCACGACATGGAGGGAGAGAGTGGCTGCTTTAAGTACAGATAATAGGTGGTGTTTACCGCCACGATGATCGGCACGATTTAAGGGTGGCCTGGCATGAAGCGGCCGATGGGACCCCAAATAAATTAAATTATCATGATAAAGGCTCCCCTTCTCCCATCTCCTCCCGCAGCAACTCCTCAATATAAGAGCGCGAATGGTGATTGTCCACTCGATAAAGTCGCCCTCCTCATGTTTACCGACATCTGTCACAGTTTGCGCATTTCCCGATCCTGATCGACGCGTAGTGTGCCAAATGATCAGTTTAGCGGGACACGGCGCATTTTCCGCGCGTCAATGAAATTAGGTCGTTCAAGCGCGAATGTATCTTTTAAAGGATTAAACAGAAATTGATCGCGGACATTAATTACGGAGATTACAATACTTTACAATATATTTTACAATATTACGTAATAAAATTAAAGCCCACTCTCTATGTTAATTTTAATTAAGACGTAATAATTAAAGAAAATAATAAATTGCTCGTCGACAACGCGTGTGTTTGGGTGTGATTTCTTTTATATATAGCACTTTTTATACTTTATCTACTACTATATAATAAAATGTTTTACTACTATAATAAAATGTTAATACTCGCCAAGTTGTACCAAACAAATTTGGCTCCTCAATTATTTTTATTGATGTTGCGATTGAACACACTATGCAGGCTGCTTTTATTTTTGAAGGAATTGTTTGCAGTTAGTTAGCGCTATAGTTAACGCGACGTCCCTATAATAGGGGTGGATGTACCGTATGTCAGTCGCCAACCCCCTCGATCTCGGTGGATAAATTTCTTTGAGCGCCTATGACGTCGATTAATATGCCGGTGGCTCGATGAATAATTATCGTGACGAGACAACTAATTCGGTGAAGAAGGGTGCGATAATTTATATAGCGAATATATTTGTCTAGCTACTTTTCGCGGTCTTTAGATTTTTTAAGGGATAAAGAAACTTGGAAATATTATAAATTTTTTACAACGTAGTGGTTAACTGTAATATTGAGTTTTCTACCTTGGCAAAAAACAAAATATCACTCTCGCGACAAAAAAAAAATTCGAATATTCTATTGTGAAATATTCGCACTCCGATTGTTATTGTTAGCTAAGATACATTATCATTATCATCCAAAACAATAATTATCAGAAAGTAAAATACTATGTATAGGCGGAGAAATAGATACCCGATCTTTATCTTGATCCACAGTCTTCTCGACCTTTTGATCACATTGACTAAAAAAGTGATTGTAGATTAAAAATTTCATGATTGATCGTGGAATTAATGTAATCACGTGTCCGTCACGAAATATGTTAAGTCAAATCATGAAATAATTTTATCTCAAAGATTAACACAAAGAGATAGATAGAACCCGCTATAACTCGTTAAAATTTTTCTTTTACACACGAAAAAACAAACAGTTTTTCTATTATACGGCCAGCAAGAAAGATTTGTTGAATATATTGAATTTTTGTTTTATCAACAAAACGTTTTGGCGAAATAAAAATTTCAATAGGCTTAGCAAATTTTTTTGCTACATAATAATTAATCTTTTGTAAATATTCTAGCAAATCTTTTTTTCTGTGTAATGTCGAATATATATTATACATAGTCTATATGTGATATGCGCAAACGCGCCTGTCACAAGGATCTAATGGACATCGCGCAAAGCGTATCCGCGTACGAGCGAGAATAAAATTGGAAAAAAGGACATAAAAATAAATATAACAATATAAAATAATCCCATGGACAGGACAAGCGAGAAGCGCAATGGTGCAAATAATAATTGTCATGAATCAGCGGGGAGGGAAATCATCGGTTAGGGCCATATGTGCCCAACGGGGGGGAGGCCAAACTCCACTTTGTCCAACGATAAATAACCCAATAAATGCTACAGTCTAAATACTAACAACTATCAAATGTAGTGTCCCGTCCCTCTCGTGCAATGTGTTTGTTTTCAATCGTCAAAACTGCTCTCTTTCTTTTCACACGCACTTTTATCACTTTTCTATACGACAAATGAATAAAGACTTTAATAATAATAAACAATCGAATATTACATTTTCATATCACAAAAGCAAACTAAAAGATTAAATTTACAAACAAAAAAACCTAACATATAAGACAAAATCGAACGTTAATTGTTTTTTATACAAATGTATTTTAGTGTATAATGATTATATTATACAATTGTTTTCTTTTGGTAAAATCAATTTGAAACAATTAAAAAAAAATTCCATTGTAATTATCTCAATTTTATATTTATCATATTTTTGAATTTTTATCTATGTATTGTTTTTTTTTATACAGAGAAACATTTAGTTTGTAAATGTTATCTCGCGGCACACTTGTGATAATTTATTTTTTGTTCTCGTAGTGTGTTTGTGTACGTTAAATTTGTGAGAACACGTGCGCCCCGCGGCGTAAAGAACCCGATAATGCGACATCGAGATATCGGAACTGCCGCTTATTTGTGTATCGGGCGTGAAATCGCACGGCCCTATCAAAATACGCGGGTCGATCTTCGAGGGAGCGCGAGAGCGTGCGTACCTGCTCGTACGCAGCTTTAGTGAATCACGCGTCGACCGGTAATCCGAATGCGCTCGACTAAACGCCGCCATGTGTACAAACACTGACAGCCGGTCACGCACTTGCTAGTTAAGTTACGAGGGTGCTTAAGCCAGTGACGCAAGGTTCACCCCGCTGCTAATCGTGGAAACCGAGTGGACAATAACGCACAGCACAACAAAAACATGTGATGTCTCGCGGTGACAAAATAATAGCGTAGAAATTTCGAACTCGGGTTAAGTGGCTATCGTGTGAATTTTTTTAATATTTTACCTACAATGTTAAATGTTTATCCTAATTCTGATATATCGAACAACTTTCTTCTCAATATACTTTGTGTTCCAAATGTAATTTTCAAGATGGCTCATTTAAGTTCGCCAATCTCGAAATTTTATTTATATAAATAATTAACGCAATTTATTTTTTATAATAAAAAACAATTTCGCAATAATTTAATATTCATCGCAATATTATTTACTCTGACATAATATATAGAAACAGTGAAATAGTTTTTTCAAATGTACATATGAATACTGAATTGCAACATTTATACGTCACGCGTTTGAATCGATGATAATTTTGTCTTGATAATTCCACGGTGCTCTACGCCTATGTCGTTATAAGTCGACGATTCTGACCAAGAGTCATTCACGGGTCTAATTGCAGGGGCGGCTTTCCGCCCTATCGTCTAACCCCAAATCATCCCTCGTAATCCATAGGGATTTACACTCGCGATAATTGCATTAGCATTCGATGATTTTTATTGAATCGTCCGGCTCGCGATAATGAATCATTTTTCGCTCTCCGAAACTGTTTGCCGGATTAAAATCATACTCAATTTGTGACTTTTATCGGATATGTACGAGCGAGTTTGGTACAAAATTGCTGCATCTCGTGTATCTTAATTATAGAATTTGGATCATTTTTTTTTTTTTTTGTTTTTTTTTTAACAAACGTTGTTGCTCAAGTTGATTAAAGCGTCATCTATCGCAGTCACGCGAACGTCTCAAGTGGAACATTTTTTGTTTTTGTGTAACAGGTTGCGCAGCACAACACGCTCTGTTGGGCAAGACTAGAAGGCCGAGAACCGCGTTCACGTCCCAGCAGCTCCTCGAATTGGAGAAACAATTCCGTCAGAATAAATATCTCAGCAGACCGAAGAGGTTTGAAGTCGCGACATCGCTGATGCTCACAGAAACGCAGGTAAATCGAAATAAATAATGATGTTAAATCGCCTTCGGCGCATTTTACCTTTATCGATATATATGTTCGAAATTCAGTGATAGCCACGAGCGCGTGTGAATCATCTCCGGTGCGCGACAAGAGTATAAAGATTAGCAAATTTTATTACTCGCGATCTCAGTAAAACGAAGAAACATAAACAGATGATGAATCATCTATAATTCAAGATCACCGATAAATTATCGCGTAATAAAATGGTTCGATAATGCCACCTTTATTGCTGATAAGTATCGCAAAGGGAACACCCAAATACGGGATACTTAGAGCAAATTGTGTAACTGTCGAAGGATCCAAAGACATTTTTTATATAAAAGCTTTGGAAAAAAGATAGATCTTATTTCTCAAGATGTAACAAATCTATTTATACATATGTCTAATATTTAATTAATACGGAATTATATTTTCGAAAATTGTTATCGAGAAATAAACTATATTTTTCTTGACATGTGAGTGAGAGTCGACGGTAAAAGTTAGCGTCAACGATCGTGCGATGAGGAGTCGAGCGTCGACCGGTAAATAGCGCGAAAATGGAAATTCGCGAGCGCGCGCGAGCACGAGAGAAAAAGAAGACCCTCGAAAGAGAGAAAATCCCTTCGAATAATCCGGCCTGCCCTACCTCCATTCGGCGCCGTGTGCACGCGAATCTCTCTTTCTCTCTCTTTTCTGTCTCTCTCTTCTCTCTCTCTCTCTCTCTCTCTCTCTCTCTCTCTCTCTTTCTCTCTGTCTCTCTTTCTCTTGCATAGTTCAACAACTTAAACATAACTCCGAAGCTTACGAGCCCTGACGGATCGCTCGGCAAACAGACGTGAAAGTCTGAGTTATGGCGGGCTCAGTCGCTGATTTGTTTCGATATTTTACCGATTCCGCCTCTCGCTCCTCGCTTCCACCTCGATCTCCATCTCCTTCCTCCGGTTTCTGCTTCCCGTTTCACGTCTGAGTTCCGCGCTTGCAGAAACACGATTACCGGCGATTTACCGTCCAAGCACGAGCATCACGACGACGGCGGCGTAACGTGTTGCAATGTCGACGAGAAGAACGTGTTTATTTAAAAAAAAAAAAATAATAAAACGAAGAAGTAAAAACGCCTCTTGTGCTTCCAATAAAGTTTTCTAAAGTTACATTGCAATCTTTAAAAATGACCGAAGATATATGTACATCGTGTATATTACACAAGTTTCTTTTTACTTTTTTTCTAATTCTCACGTACAAAAATTTATGTAACGTGTTTTGTATGAAAAAACTTATATAATTATAAAAATTTATTAATATGAAAGATATTTCAGTACGTTATATAGATTTCTTGTTATTTCCAAATGATTTGTTTCCCTTCGACTCTCTTGTAGCAAAAGCTATTTGGCTCGCGATGTTATTTCGACGACAACGATTTTGCCAGATTAAATGAAAGTTCGATACAATATTCACGGTCCAATTGTTACGAAATCGCGAATTGTAATAGCGCGCGAGATTTACGCAGCGATGAGAATCGTCAGCGAGAAAAATATTTCTTTGGCAATTAAACGCGATCGCGCAATCGAGATCGTATCGCGCGAGAACGCTCGTAACGTATACATACATAACGTACCGTGTATGATTCACCGTCGCTCGGTTTTCCGTGTACAAAATGTCGATTAATTTCGGCTTGCGAGATAATTTACAGCGCGATCTATTTCTTTTATCTCTCTTTCTCTCTCTTTCTTTCTCGCTCGCGCTTCATCGCGCGCTCGCTCGCTCGGTTTATCGGTAACAAATATTTATTTTCGCGCATCACTTTTTTCCCACCTTCAATCTATTTTTTTTTTTTTGTTTTTTTTTTCGACAGACTCGCGCCTACAATTCGCGCCTTTTTTGCTCTTTTTACACCCCCCTCCCCCCTCGTTCTCTCCGAATTCAATCCCCGCGCTTGTTTGCCTCGCGCTCCGAATTATTTGTTAACGCGTCGCGAATGATTTACGTAAATCTCCGGTGTAGTAGCGTTTTATCTATCAAATTATCCAGCTGATCGAGAAGTAATGGCACTTATAATTTGTCACGGAAAAAAAAAAGAACGCGCCATTTTACACGCGAGAGAAAATAAATACAACATAATAAAAAAATATGTCTCGTGGATTTTATGTTATGTTTTGTGTGCTACACATATGACTTGACACCGTCGTAAATTGTAAAAAATCACAAATTCTTTCAATTTAAAAAAGACATTTCTGAAAAGCGTACAACACAAATACACCGTTATTATTGTATTGCAGTGACTGTGATTTGGAATCTGTGATTTTTGTTTCTTTACACACAAAGTTTTCTCAATAAGAATCGCAAAGAATTCAGAGCGCGATGTCTCTTTCGAATTTTCCCATTCATATTCGTACGAGGAAGCCGCGCTTCTCTACGCGGAGGGTAAAAGATATAATATGGTCGGGTGTGCCTGGAGGGGATTGGCCCGGGCGCGCATGATATGTTGTCCGAAAGATTTACATCGTTTTCTTACGATTGGGGAGGAAAGATCGAGTCTCCCTGTATCTGTCTACCTGATTTACGACATTTCGCGGGGTGGACTCACGTGACGTTACCCCCCGCGCTTGCGGAGCACGCATTCGCCAAATTAAATCGGGCGTAAATCGAATCACTTCGAGAGATCGAGGTAGTTACCTCTTTAGGATTACCCGTTAAAATTGCTGACAATTTTGCACTTTCGAGATTGATATCGATTCGCAATCGAAAACAATTTAAACTAAAAATTATTTATAAAAACGTATTTAATATTCACGATCAGATTTTTTTATCGTACTTTCTATTCGAAGCTTTCTATTCAAAGAACCTAATCAAAATATGTTATTTAGTGTTTTTAAATATTCTATTTTATACTGGATTCGAAAAGTTTGCAGCGGTTTTCAATATGCGACATTATCATAGATAACAAGAAATATGTACACAAAATATGGCGCGGACAATAAAAACATCAAACAACACCATATATGAACATTTACAGAAGCTAAATTATGTGAGACGATATGATTGATGTTTTTAAATTTAATTAAAAATGTGCTATTTGTCTCAGACATCGTACACATAAATATAAGAATTCAAGAAATATTATATAACGAAAATAATTGTTTTGCAATTACTTATCTAGAATTAAATACAAGATAATAGCACTCAATGCTACAAAAAATTTTTATCACCGCAGACATCGCGCGTCATAGTTGTTAGTTCTCCGAAACCGCTTATCGCTTCATTATCGCCGCATAATTCCTTTAATCTTTCTCCGCGTTGCAATTACTCGACAATCACGATAAATTTGCGTCGTATCGGCACGTGCGGCACGTTAATTATACGATATAATTTTATTTCACACAGGTGAAGATCTGGTTTCAAAATCGGCGAATGAAATGGAAACGCAGCAAGAAAGCGCAGCAGGAGGCGCGTGCGAGCGGAAAAACTGAAGAGTCCGGAAATACGAGAAACGCCGAAAGAGATGCCGGAAGTGACGTTAGTGTAAATGCACCCGGAACGCCGGAAGAAACTAGAGGAACGATTCAGGAAAGTCAGAGAACTGGGACAGATCTTCAGGAACCTTTGTATCGGCCTTATGTAGTTTAAAGAATCGTCAATGTTCGAAAAGCCGTGTTTAATTTAACGAAAGACCAACATGTTTTTAAGATTTGTGCTAACATCTTTGACGTTTTTATTTTATGTGCGTTGTGTTTTAGACACAAATAATTTCTATAATTAGACAGATCAATATAAATAAAATATTTTTCTGTTAAAAAGAGACGCAAAAAAGTGAAAAGAAAACAAGTGAACTTTAAAAAAAAAAGGGAAAGATTAAAAGTTATGCATTATCGGCTCTTTAGTAAAGTTACAAGTTTTTAAATGTTAATTTAAAAAAAAAAATTGTATTTTCACACACACCATATGTTTGAGAAAGAGAGAGAGAAAAGATTTGATTGTTAGAAGTTCTGCTTATTATTGTATTTACGCGAGTGTTTCTGTATAAATATTTTTGTAGTAAAAATGTTGCACTCCACTTATAAGAAATGCGATATATAAATTTGTTCTAGTTGACTGTGAACAAAATTTGAAACTAGCATAATTTTAATTGTTTCATCGGTAAATAAAACTTTTCTCATCGAGATTTGCCGCGCATTATAACCGTCGTGTTTCAGATATATTCCCCCATAAATGTTTTTAAAAATTATTTTTGTGCTACCAAAATAATCGAAATCACATTGGTGTCGATAAATTTTTTTTTTCAGCTTACCTTCACAATCTCAGTTTTCTATTAAACTAATCGATCTCTCTCTCTCTCTCTCTCTCTTTCTCGCGCGCGTGTGTGTGTGTGCGTGTGTACATATATCTCAACACTATAATTTATTACATTGAAACTCTGATGTAAATAATTGCAACAACAAGACAAAATTCACGATTGCGATCATTAACGATACCTCGCTTGTTATATAATCACAATTATTAGACAAACATAAGAACCGCTAATCCTGAAGAGCCGTCTTGCTCAAAACAACGGAATGTCGGTTGTACATATAATTGAATAAATTATCATTTTGCTATCTGCCAAAAAAAAAAAAGCGGAGAGAATAAATTGCAACGTTTTGAGCAACGCAAAAAGAATGAATCTATACACTGTGATCATGCGATCTCAAACGAGACACAAGACATATGCTTCAGGATTAATAAAGCCTCTTTAATATAAGTCCGTCGCGTGTTGTGTACATAGACATCCTAGAGAAACTATTTATTCTGTGTTCGCGCTCGGCTTGTAATATATAGAGACACGAGATTGACGCTGGAACCACGACATTGTTAATATAAACGATGTAAAGAGGCGACGAGAATGTGGTAGATGGATTTACCTCTCTGCGGAGGTAAATGAGCCGTTTTATTTGATTTATCGTTCCGTGCGTGTGCGCGATTGGAAGAGCATGTATTTATAGTATACAATGTGAGTGTAAATATTATCCGCGTAGGTTCTAAGTTTAGCGAATGCGATGCAGATACACCGTATGATATCGCGAGAAGTTCCTAAATAAATTATAAAATTGAGCAAAAAAAACATCGCTGTTTCCTTCTTTTCCTTCGAATATTCCTCTTCTTTCAATAGTTTAATGCTCTCGCAAATGCAAGTAAATTATTTTATTTTTGCATGTATTATTTATATTTGTAAGACACATAATCAATTTAAAAATATTAAATACGTATAGATAGATAGATAGATTGATTGATTGATTTATTTATTGTTTTTAGTTTTTAAAAGCGGAAGAAAAATATCTTAAAGTGCAACATAAACAAAAAAAATAAAACAATATAAACATGTGATAGTATACTAGAAGAAAGATTAGAATTTTTATCGATTTTATACATAATATATTTAATTTTCTTATATTAGAATATTATTCTTCCTTCAAGATCAAATTTTTCACATTTACTACGTACTTGCAAACAAAACGTCAAATCATCTAAAAAAAAAAAAAAAACAAGCTATGTCAAATTCAAAATATCAGACTTTATTTTGCATTTTGCGACGTAAATGTCTGGATCCGCTATAGTATTCAGCCGCGCGTGTGCGCGAGAGAGCTGGGTCTCATGTTATTTGCATGATGGCCGCTGATTGGTATATGGCTTGTAAATGAGAGGCTTCATCCCCCGGCAGATAACCACCACTACCTTCCACCTTCCCATCCCCTTTGTTCGGACGGGCCTGGGCTGATGGTGGCTCGATGGAGAACCAAACGATGTGTTTCGAAAGGCACTCGAAGGAGCAGCGCCGCGCCGCGCCATCAGTATTTATGACATGCTAATCCCCAGTTACGAATTCCGCGACATTCCGCGACGGAGAGCCGCTCGTTCGGAAAACGTCACCGCCCGGCGAAACGGCGCAAGGAGGAGATAAAGTCGTATTTGACGAACGCGGATCGATGTCACTGCTTGCTGCGTTTCGCTTCCTTGCCATTTCCTTTTTCCTTCATCATGTGAAAATCAAAAACGCCAGATAGATTGATACATTGAGAAATAAAATGAGAAAAAAAAAATACAAAATATTGGAAGAGTTAAAGAGATGTATAAATTGAAAAAAAAAAAAATACATATATAATTGATATTTTTATATAAAAACATTTTTATATATAAAGCGGTTGAATTAAATTGAAATTAATTTATTGAAAGAGAGACGTCGTATGTAATTTTGATTTAAATATCTTGTGCAATTTTGTTTACAGCACAGTTAACTTTAAAGAAATTTAACGTTTACAGCACAGTTAACTTTAAAGAAATTTAACGCTTTTAAATTCTTTCACCAAACATGATTAAAATTGCACTATATCTATAGTTATCCGAGCGTTCGAATTTTCTCGCTTATATGAATATTTTCTTCATAATTTCTCGCTGTCGCCCGTTTACACTTGTCAATCAATTCGTCGTTCTTATTACTGATTCGATTGCCAACTCTTTTTCCCATTTCTCTCGTGTTGCGTATGCCATTCCAATTTTTCGTCTTCATCTTTCACTCGTGAAAAATCTCGCGGCGAGAGCAAGTCGAGCGAGTTTTACCGTGATTATTTGCGAGGAAAAATCCGGAATTGCCCGAGCGAGCGGGCGAGCAAGACGATCTCGAAAACGTTCTGGCATGGCGCCACATCTCCGTTTAACGCCATGACGCGGTGTGGCGGAAAAAGGAAATGGCCGTAAAGCTTTTTCGACAAATATGCCGCCGAGCCGTTATCCCGAGAGAGATATCGCAAAGGCGTGTTACCGTCACGCTCTTGAGAAAATTAGCATAACGACCAATCCCGCTTCGCGTTTTCCGCCTGTTCGTTTCTTTCGGCATGCGAAGATTTATTCGCGCACGGCGTCCCGTTCGCGGCTGACAATTTAGCGAGAAACGTATTATACGCGTACTATACGTACACACGAAAAAAAAAAAAGATTTGCTGAAATAGTAAGATTAATCATACCATATGACCAGCAAGAAAAATTTTCTAAGCTTATTGGATTTTGTAAACAAAACGTTTTTTATTGACAAAAAACAAAAACTTTATTAGATCCAAACATTTTTCTTGCTGATCACTTGTGATAGCAAAATTTTTTCCGTGTGTGTCACGCGATATCGAAGATGCTAGATGCGTTGTATCAGTTTTTCCAATGATTTTTTATGATCCTAGCAAAACTATTATGTTGAATATAAAAAATTAGCTCGCGTGTTGATTTGACTAACTTCCAAAATTCTCACACGGAGAGACAGTTTTGTTATTGTATATATGATTAGCGAGAAATATTTGGTTTTTGAATCTACTGAATTTTTGTTTCATCGACAAAACGTTTTACTGAGAAGACACAATTTTCTTTCTTGCTATTCTAAGCAAGTCTTTTTTTTTCCGTGTACAGGTTTATTAATTTTGTCTATCTGGCGCGCGGAAAAGTTCAATTAAATTAGTTAAGAAAGTGAGAGTAGATAATTAAAAGACACACACACATTTTAAATTAAAGTACAATAAATAAATGCTTTTAACATAAAATACAACTTTTGATTTTGCCCGAAAAATTTATATAACATATCAGTGCTTACAGCGCTGATACGTATGGATTCAATCAGAATCATATCGCGCAATCTCGTTCCGAATCTCACTCTGACGTTCATTCAACGGACGTTATACCTCGGTTAGCTGATTTCTCTCGTATCTCCTAACTGAGGCCCATCCTCGTCAAGAAGGAAGTCGAGAGTCGTCGCCGTTGCGGGAGAGAATTGCGAAGACAGGGGGTGCAGGACGGAGGTAGATAGTTGGAAAGGACGTGGCGACGACGAGGGTGGGGCACACTCATGTTTATATGCATTGTATTGCTAAAACCCTTTTAACCGAATTACATTTAGCGATTCTAGTGCCGCTTCTGTGTGTCTGCGTAACTTCCTGCCTTCCTCTCCCTTTCCTCAGTCGTTGCTGTTCTCCATTTCGTTCTGTCGCCACCTCCGTCTCTCTTTCACTCTCGCTTCCGAGATACCGCGCGTGTCTACGTATGCGAAGAGAGCTACTCTATCCAGCTTTTGGAAGATCTCCCATACGACGGTGGTGAGCTGATGGCGAGGTTGATGGTGTGGGAGAAGGCAGCGGGCCGACGGATGGGTGGCGCGAGGGACCGCGAAGAGCGGAGGGGGAGAGGACGTGGAAGATGGGGCTGGATTCCAAGAGTCAGAGAACGGCATCCCTGAATCCCTGATTCTCTTGGTAAACAAGTGCTTGGGTGATTCACTGCTTGTTCACTCCTATCGGCCGTCGTTTGTTTCTAGACGCCATTGCGTTCTACGATTCTACCTCGTTTTCCGGTCTAATGGTTTTGGGGGCCGTCGAGAGGGTTGCTTCGAGAGTTCCTCGCGTTACCTCTTTCCTCCTCTCTCTCTCTCTCTCTCTCTCTCTCTCTTTTTTCCTGTTTCTCTTTCAATCTGAAGATGTCTTAGCACAATTCGGACATAAACTGTTGTTCAAAATTTCAGAAACATTTCATTACTGTCAACGATCTTACATTCTTTTATTTTTCATGTGTGTGTAAGTGTGTGTGTGTGTGTATACGCTGTTTAAGAAATGTATTATAACATTTTTCAACAAATAAAAAATTTATTTTTGATATAGTTTTAAATAAGTTTTAAATAGTTTCCAACAATTTAGATTTTTACACGATTGAAATGTTTAAACAACTTTGGTTTAACTCCTCCACCACACCCCTTCCATTTCAATCTAGCGCTATAA